CTTGCTGTTTGCTATGAGTATGGGACTGGAGTGGAAAAGAATTTTCAAAAAGCAGTTGAGCTGTATCAGAAAGCAGCTGAACAAGGACTTGCCAATGCACAAAATTGTCTTAACTTACTCAAAAATAAATAATTTACCAATTGATTTGAGTTATTAAATTCGAGAACAATATGTTCTGGTATAGGATTATTTTATTTAACAATATTGTTATTTATTATCACCAGATTTAATCTTGTCAATTTAGCTTGTATGTGATGGAAGTTGATATAAATATTAATGCATTTTGTCATTTACATTGATGAATCCATTACTATTACGTTGAATTATGGGTTTTATACCATGCTTTTAATTAAACCTGCGTACAAGAGATTTGCTATCTTTTAATTGTAACTGTTACGGTCAGCGTCCAAATTCGGGTTGGGAGAGCAATAAAATTGCGTAGGTGTATTCCGCCGAGAGGGTTTTGTAATTTAGCTCGTGTCGCTGCCCTTACTACAACAATTGCTGAACTAAACTGATAAGTGACAATAATTATTTATGTACGCACTTCCCCATACGACGTATTTTTTTATACTCGAATCTAAATAAGGTTACCTACGATCGAATAACAATAACAATTAAACTATCGCAGAACCGAAGGGAAAAAATTTTAATAACTATTGTTAAACAGGGCGGTCTTCGATTTAGTGTTTCGACTAGTCGGGAAATGTCACTTTTTCTAATTAAACAATGATCGTTCGATAATCTCTAATCTTTTATCGCAGCTACGGGTCAGAACCAATCTACTGCGTTGACAATTTTCTTCCGTCAATTACGAACGGGAATTTATTCCTAACAACCTTGTAAAACCACAGGTCACGTAGGAGTGTCAATAATTAATATCAGCGAACGAATTATTCCTGGGTTTTTGATCTTATCAATATATAGATTAATGCTACCAAATTGGCCACGACTCAGTTCACTAATAGCTAATTTTTCAATCGTGCCAACCGTTGACTTTGCCTGGATTACTGCATATAGTAATTTTTACAAGTACGGCAGTATTCACTATAATTATGATCAAAGTTGTCGATTTATTTACGATTATTGCTCAATTTTAAAAATAGAAAGTAGGTCTTACGATTATGATGCCGACTAGGCTTTTTAATAACTGTTATATGTTTTTTGGGAAACATCGAAAAGCCAAAAGCCTAACATATAATCGAATAACAATTTCCGCTAGTCATAACAATTCTGAAAGTTTGCAAACATGACACTTACACCCAAAATTGACACGATCATCACGCATTCTCTATGGCCCACTGCCAATTTTCCTTAATCCACTCCACAACAGTTTGTCCGAGTTCTTCGATTTCTGCTGAAGTGTGGCGCCAGCTATGTCCCGCGTTCTTCACAATTACTAATTTATGCCTATCCCCAAGCAGCCGATCGTACTCGTACGCTCCTTTTACTGGACAAATGTTATCCGCATCTCCATGTACAGTCAATACTTTTGTACTGTTCTTGATATTCTTGACAACAGTCATATCTAAGCTATTCCGTACGCGAATATCTTCGGCGGTGATTATATAAGGCTTTTGCTGGTACGTCAATACGAATGACCCCTTTTCATTAAGAGAAGCCATCATCTCGGGAGTAAATCGACCTTCAGGAGTCTCACTATGATCAAAGCGAGCCGAGAGGTTGATTACGAAAGGAGGCGTAGAGTCCACATATTTTGCTGCGTGTAATAGAACAACCGCCGCGCCCTTGCTATGGCCAAGAGTTCCAATTATACGCAAATTAAGGTCTTTTTTTGCAAACTGAATAATAGTTTCAAGGTTTTCAGCTTCGTCGTAGTAATTCCCATAACCTGACGCACATCATTGTATGATAAGTACGCGCTCAATGCTTTTTTTTTTTCCCATCCTCCAAGTCTGTTAGTCACTCCACTTACTTGTTTCGCCACCACTCTCTCCACATCCCTGGAAATCAAACGTGATTATTCGTAAAATTTCAAGACCTGATGTATTGGCGATTGCTTCGATTACTACTTGCAGTGCTTTACTCTGACGAGTTTGTACTAGCCCATGGCATAATATAATGGCTGGGTATGGCTGTAAACTTTTATTATCAAGTTGTGTAAATCTCCTACTAAAAAAAAGCCCTTTCCTGTCGAAGTTGAGAAAGTTGTTGCGGATAATGCCATCTCACTATGTGTACGGAAGTGGGTATGCTGTCTCTCGTAGTACACATCAACGTGTTGTATATATAGCGACGACTGTATGTTGCTATTTCCATCGCCTAGTTCGCTCCAATACTACACAACCCCCATTCGCCGATCTTCTAACTGGAGAAATATGGCTAGTCAATCAATACATTCTTTACAATCATAATGCAAATTTCGCTTGGTTTGAAAATTATAACATTTTTTGTCTGCGATACTTCAAATTCCGGGTCTTTAATATTGAACTCGGAATGAATCAATATCACATTCCCGATCGCTTATCACATCGTTTTCCCAAAGTTTTTCACCTGATAAGTCATTACTCAATCCCGTCTCCATTAATTCAAACGTGCTTGATTCTGTATCAATCAGGTTGAGTTCATATTCTTTAATAAATTTGCCTCCTCTATCTGAGACATTAGTTTATGTGCAGCTTTTTTTTAGTTGGTCGAGGCATATTAAAACAATAAAGAATGTTACGAGAACAACAATACTAACTTTCACTTTATTGGATAATGGGCTGTTATACAAACAGTTGCACAAACTGGAGTTTTAGGCATTTGAAAGCAAGAAAAAAAGATGAAAATTTCGGACGTCCAAACCTTTTTTAGCTAGTAAGAATTTTAAACTGTAACTTTTATTCTACTTCGTCTGCTCTATCATTCTTACGGGTTAGTTTTTCTCTAAACCCTCTAATATAAAAGCCTTAGGGTTGGGTATTTTATTTCGGGCTTTAGGTGTCTTGCGCCATATGGTGCAAGGCACCTATAGTCATCAAACAAATTCATGCAACTTTAAAACCTATCTAGTCCACCAATTTAAACAATATTAAAAATGT